AAGGGCCGGCGTTGTCTTGGTCGGAGATGGAGTAGACGTGGACCTTGCTGACGAAATCATCGACTTCGGTTGTGTTTCTGGTATGACTGACGCTTTGCAATGGCCTCAGCGAGGATATTTGCGCCACCCCACATGGTAACCCAGAGGGGGTCGCTCGCGAGCCGGCATCAATTGCATCGATTAGAGCAGTGGCTGCACCGCTCAAGGGCAACTCGAGCGCAGCAAGACCATAGACAGCATGGCCTTTCATACACCTTGTCTAGCAGACTTTGCGCCGAAGGGTATTCGGCGCCTGCAGGTACATGAGCGTTGAGATTCGCCGTGATGTTCCCATAAGCGTTCATAACCTCAATGACAGTAGCAGCATCCAGCGAATCGTTCTTCCACGTCGACGTAATCAAGCTGAAACCCTGAATATCGATCTCGTTGGCGTAGGTCAAAAAGCGGACAAGGCTCATCTGATCATCGGGCTCGTTGCTGATGTCGCTGAAGACGAAGACGCGGTGTTTGTGCTGGTATCGTGTCGCGGCACATTGTTTGTCCGGATACGCTGTGACATTGTGCGAAGATGGTGCGGCAGAGACAGCGCTAGCGATTGCGGCGAGGGCGAGGACGCCGAAGAAGCGAGCCATGATGGGATGATGTCTCAGAGCCGTGAGGTGGTGTTAGAAAAGGCTGATGGGCAGCATGTATACTCTTTTACTGCGCGTCGGGTTGCTCCGCAGACTGCAAAGGTCATCGTTGCGGAGCATTGTCAATAGTTTATATGAAATTGGCTGACCCCACCGACGATCTGTACGTAGTTCGCTACATAGAAGGCCGAAGCAATTGCCGTGCCAGGGCAACGATGAGTGTACGAGTCGAGCAGTCCGGATGTACATGGAGACAAACTCTAGGGCAAGAAGTGATGTGGACCCAAGAACCCCAAAGTTGGAGGACTTTGCGGGGCCATCATGTCAGCCAAGGAAGTCGTGGAAGCATAAGATATTTATTCGGAGGTTTGCCGACGACCACGGGACCTATGCCGCATGTCCTCCGATGGCCTCAGTTCAACCTTCACAATGATGGTCTTTCAAAGATGCTCGACCGAATAACACCAAATTCTCAACGCCTGTGTACAGTGTCACGTTGGTGGGACGATGTTTCCTTTCCCTTACTGGACAGTAGTAGTATAACTGGTACGACGACACCCGCACTTTTCTAGTCGCATCTCAGCAGCAAAGTTAAGCAGGTTAACGTTGGTGCTTGATGATATCGCTACAGTGATTGCTGAAGAAACCTCTAGCTTAGGTAGCATCTCAGCGGTAAAGGTGAGTGGAGTTCTGCCTATGGAATTTCTGAAGGCCCGTACAGCTCAAGAAAGCATCTCAGCGGCACGCCTCTTAGGGAGCTCAGCCAGCGCCGCTGATACTGGCACTCGGAACAACGCTTGTTATGGAGATGCGACCATGCTTTCGCTGACAGCCATACACGGTGTTCAGAGCAATGCCGCGAGGGACGCAAGACATAAGTTGGTGATTTGATTTCGTCTCAGTGGTCAATCATACCCCTCTAACGCCTATTTCCAATCAAATTAGCACAAGTGACATGAAATCGTAATCAGACTCATGTGCAAGACCATCGTTCCAAACCTTGCTCCCTACAAAATTTGTGTTTTGATGCCTTTGTCAAACAAGTCGCAGAGAGGCAATGGAATGTAAAACGTCGGTAGCAGAGAAATGTAACATTTAGGGGTATCATATGAGACTTCGTCCACTCCATCCACTTTCACTCCTTTAAACTTCACTAATCCGCACGCTCTTCCTCGTAGCCCTCCTAGGCTTGCTAGCATCAGTTGCACTCTCGTCGTTCGCCCCGTCCGTCGTGACGCCCGGCTGAGTAAGTGGTTCAGGCTTTGGGGTTCCGGCAGCGCTTTTCTCGTCCGCCTTCTTGTCTTGCCCACTAGTAAGGCACCCTTGGCCAGACTGGATCGTTTTCCAGCAGCTGCAGTCTTGGACTTCGAGCTCTTCTTCTCTTCTGGGGCGGGCGTGACGGTCTTGCTCGTCGCCTCTGACTCCACGACCAAAGCAGAAGACTTGATCGGTAAGCGCAGGGGCAAGAATGACTCGGGTGCGCGCGTGCAGCGCTGCATGATTTTTTTCATCTCTTCGCGTACTTCGTCTGCAGGCTTGACCCACTTGGAGACATCTTTCAACAGAGGCTCGCGGCCATAGGCGACTTCAACCATCATTGTCACGGGCTGCCAGTACTCTGTGTCCGGGTCCAGCTGTAGACCGGTAGGATCTGCTGCTTCACTGCCCTTGCGAGTGACGATGAAGGATGCAAGCACATGCTGAGCAGACAGAGGCTCAAGGATGCTGTATTGGGGAAAGAGGAAACGGTCTTCCGTTGCTCCGGCGAGTGTGAATGCGAACACGACCTCGCTGGGAGGCGGTGGTGGTGGCGGGACATATTGTTGTACTGGCGGGGGTGGTAATGGTTGTTGTTGCCACACGGGATTCTGTACTGGCTGTGGTACGGCGTGTGCCAACGCCGGCTGTGGTATAGTACTGCTTTGAACGGGCGTTGCGCTTTGCTTGGCTACACGCTTCTCTTCCTCTGCGCCTCCTTCAACTTTTGTGCCTGGATGACCGCACCCAGTTTCATCGATGTGCTTTTGAAATACTTTGAGCTGCTCTTGCGTTGCTTTCCCTGTAGCCACCTCTTTCATAAGTGCTTTCAGCTCAGGATCCGAGGACGCGCGCGTAGCTAGCATGCTGATGACAGGGTCTGGAGATGCCTTCTTATCCTGAGGCGCTGGTGTCGCGGGTTGTGGCGTGGCTTGCGGCGCGCTTGGTTGCCTGCTCTGCAAAGGTGCAAGAGGTTGAGGCTGTCCAGCTGGCGGCAATGGTCGATTTGATAGTACTGGGTCTGTTGCTGCGGTCTATACGGCGCCGGTTGTACTTGCGATTTCGGCGGTGGAGGAGGTCGCGGCTTGGTCACGGACCCAGAGGTTCACCTCGAAGATATGCGGTTCGATGCGTAGCCTACACCTGCCCTTATCCTTCATACTCTTGAGAACGAGATCCGGCCCCTTCTGTCTACCCTCCGGCTTCTTCCAGAAGCGCTGGAAGATACCCCTTTTGTCCAAGCATGTTGCGACCGCTCTAGTGACGCGGCGAGCACCGCGCTCGAGGCCAAAGATTGGTACTCCGAATCCGGTAGGCTGGCGGGCTGTGATTGTCTAACAATACAGGAAGTGGCGCGGATGCTGAGATCTTGGATGGAAGTCCAGATGGCTTTGCTTGTTGAACAGAAGGCGATTCGCGTGCCGTTGGCGTGGCTTCTTTCGTGGATGGTTGTGATAGCTTCTGCTTCTTGGGCGCCGGAGTCGCCTTGGGCGGACGGCCAGGCCCACGCTTCTCGCCGGCTGTGGATTCTACCATTTTCGCATCAATTTCATTAATTCGTTGGTCCCATGTCTCCTGTAGAGGAGGATGTCGCAAGGTGATGTGTGAGTTGTCGCATGTGTGTAAGTTGAAAGTGTGGTGACATGTGATAGACTGGGCAAGGCAAGGGCAACTTGCGGAGCTTTGTCTGTGCACTTCCGCTTCCATCGTGGTCGTGCTATACCATCCGCATTGCAGAGACATCCCACCCTGCAGCGTCATCAGGCCTACACGAATCAACTCCTATACAGTCGACCCGCACACTCCCTGGCGACTCAACAAGAACACACCGTCGCCATGCTTTCCACACCCGCCGCCCGCGCGCTCGTCCGCTCCTTCGCAGCGCCCTCAATCAGGACCCGCGCATCCTTCCCGACATTCGCACGATCATGCTCTTCCCTCACATGCGGCTCGCAATCCCAATCTCTCACATCGGCCTTCCAAAAGCTCAGCGTGAAGCCCGCCAGTCCTTTCACGAAGCTCGTGAGCACACAGCAGGTCCGTGGAATGAAGGTGCGCAGCTCGGTCAAGAAGCTTTGTGATGGCTGCAAGAGCGTGAGGAGAAAGGGAGGCAAATACGTGTACATCATTTGCTCGAAGAACCCCAAGCACAAGCAGAGGTATGTGGTGGAGTTCTACGATTTGCGATGTGGATGTGTGGCTGACATGTGTTTGTGATACAGGCAAGGATAGAGCGCACCGATTGTGTAGGGAGAAAGAATTTCAAGGAACAGGCAGCATCAGCTCAGGCGTTAAGGGAGGATCATGGGAACATATATGAGCAAGGCTTTATGCCTTGACTGTACGATAGCGAAGCCAGGCATTTGCAACACTGAGGACTTGGACTCTCACTTGGAAGTTCACAGGCTGCAACTGTGTATCAATGCACAAACAAGTCAACTCTTGCTAGCATGTCACGCCCATTTAGGACTCACATATCTTGGGGGATTTGATACTCAGGGCTCCGTTCGTGAAGTGCGTATCCATGGACGGCTGGTGGCCTCTGCAAAGCGATTGTTGTGGAAGTTTTTATTGCATACTGGCATTTCCACGAACCACGTGCTATTCAAGTAATGGATAGAACACGAAGTATCTCAGATGTACTCTCCAATTTCGTCATTGTAGTATGAATGGTTTTTTTGACCCGGTCATAGGCTACAGTGACCGATCTCATTGAGTTTTGGTAGCACCGAAAACCACATGACGCATTACCGCACATATGCAAATCAGGAACGCTCACTATGACATATGGAATAAACCTCATCAAGCATTCACATGTGTGCATCTTTTGATCGTGAGAGCAAGTTCAAGCACAAATTGTTGCTGGCGAGCCAATCAGCGTTGCAGCCTGGATCGTCCCTGGCGATCTAGCGTCGCAAAGCAGCGACTTCCAGATCAATTTCACTCCGGCAGCCCAGCATCATCAACTTTCACTTCACTCAAACCCACTCGCACCACCCATCTCCGCATACCACGTTTCAGATAATCGCGACACGCGCCATCTGAACGGCACTTCATATACTCTCCACAACATCTCAACACCACCCACCTACACCGTCGCAAATCGCAAACATGGCTGAAGTCGCCTCTAAGCCCACCGAGCCTGTGCCGCTCGACACCATCCCCATCTCTCCCGAGGGTGGCGAGAAGGAGGAGGCCACGACCAATGGCTCCAACGGCAAGGTCGTCACCGTCTTCGACGACCCCAACAACTTCACCGTCAAGCACGCTCTCCAAAACACCTGGACCCTCTGGTTCACCAAGCCGCCGAGCGGCAAGCAGGACTGGAACGAGCTTCTGAAGGAGGTCATCAGCTTCGACAGCGTCGAGGAGTTCTGGGGAATCTACGTATGTTCCATCACTTCCATGCTGCCACCATGTCGCGCCGTGCTGACCGCTTTTTCTTCAGAACAACATCACCTCTGCCTCCGAGCTCGCTCAGAAGTCCGACTACCACCTCTTCAAGCGCGGCGTTCGCCCCGAGTGGGAGGACCCCCAGAACAAGCACGGTGGCCGTTGGTCCTACACCTTCAAGAACAGCAAGGCCAACGACGAGACCTGGCTCAACATCATGCTCGCCGCCATCGGTGAGACTCTCGAGGACGAGCAGGACAACGAGGTCATGGGCGTGGTCGTCAACATCCGCAAGGCCTTCTGGCGTGTCGGTCTCTGGACCCGCACCGCTGGCCAGCAGCCCAAGGGCAAGGCCGCCGTCGAGGGCGCTGACCCCAGGAGGGCAAGAAGAGGCTGGAGCAGATCGGCAAGAGGTTCAAGGAGGTCCTCGCTCTCC